CCCGCCACGTCCCGCCAGGCACAGGCACGCCCTGCCACAGAGACACACCACAAAGGCTGGACACCGACTGACTAGGCTGCGGTCTGCTCAGCAAGGTATGGACTAGGTCTGAGACACTGCAAGAGACCACTCAGGGGTCTGTTTGGAAGATTCTGGCCTAGCTTAGCCAGTTAAAAACTGCCAAAAATTCCTAAGGATCCCAAATTCTATTCAAACACTCCTTTGAGACTCTCCGGAAGGTTCCAGGGGCCCCTGAGAGCTGGGCGTTCCTGCAGCACTTCCATGGCTCTATCAGGGACTTACCAAACCACTATCCTGCCCCTGGGAGGGGTCAGGCAGAGACTGTGACGTCAAGCCTTTTAGTCCTCAGCACCAAGTGGTGCTTGTGACAGTGTGTCAATGCTTACTAACGGCTGAAGGACAGTCTCCAGGCCTAGGGCCTGCTAACAGAGCCCACTTGATACAAGCAGTTAAGGTTCCCTTGGCTGCTGAGAGGTCAGTGGCTCCATGGCAGATCTGATCTTCTCTCATCAGGAGCACAGCTGGGGAACCCTGTGTGGCAGTTCTAATGTCATATGGGCCATGAGTCAGAACGGACTTGACGGCACCGACAATGACAGGCAGGATTCAGCATGGAAGTTACCTCAGGAACACCCTTCACAGGACAAACCCCAACTCAGGGCAGTCTCTGCTGGCTTTCAGCATTTGTGGACCGCCGTGACCATTCACAGCCTTACTCCCCAAGGCCCACCAGGAACACGGCCACCTCTGCAGGGAGTACCTCTGCGTCCTGCTCTTCGGCGGGGGGCCCAACGAAGTTGACACCAGGGGACTCTGGTGGCATCACCTGTGGAACGAAGACGAAGGCACCATGTTCACGGCGCCCCCATTCCTCCAGGGGCTCTCCTGAACCCCCACAGCTCTGCCCTCCCACCCACCCGTGGGCTCACGTTCACACGGCTCTCCCACCCACCCCGGGCTCTCCTTCCCATGAAGTCTCCCACCGAACACCCTAACTGCAGAGTGCACATCCAGACGCAGCTCGTCTTCAGTTAAGAAGCTGCCCCCACAGCAGGCATTTCTGGGGTGAAGCGCCCCCAGCTGGCTCTGAGAGCCCAGCAGGGCTCTGGGTAGACTGAGCAACTCTCGTGTGTGAAGCCCAGAAGTGGCGTGAATCACTGTCCCCTCACCTCTCCATCCTCTGATGGTGATCTCCTGGAGCCCCGGGGGGAAGGAGGTGCCTCCCCGTCCTCTCCCGGGCCAGGGGCGATGTAGGAGCCAGACATGGAGGAGACGGTGTCAGTGCTGATCTGGGAGTGCTGGCTCTGGGAGGACGCCATGGACATGACTGACTGAGCCAGGCTGCTGCTGGCAGGGTCTTGGGAGACAGGAGTTGAAGGGACACGAGCATCAGTGCAGGCAGGGGAGGGTGCCCACTGTTCCCACGAGCTACAGGGCACAGAGCCCTCTCCCCACACGCACGCACTCAGGAGCAGCAGCCTTACTTTATCCTACACAAACTGGAGATTTTAGGTTTTCTAAGATTACACAGTTCACAGGAAGGGGGTCAGGGACAAAGAGGGGGATCCTTAATAAAACAGCTGGACACAGTGGCTGCCCTAGTGGACTCATGCAGCCATTCCTGCAAGGATGGTGTAGGGCCGGGCTGGGCTGCATTCTCTACGTCGGGACACTAGGAATCAGAATCTCAACTGCACCTGGTGATAAAGTCAGAGCTCAGAGCTCAACCTCAGGAAGTAGCGTGAGGTTTTCCCAACCCCACATTACAGGGAAGCCCTACTGCAGGACGGGGTCACCATCAGTGACCCCCCAGCTCACTGATCAGGTCCCTGCACCTCCCCTCCCTCACCGGGGGCTTCTTCAATCAGGAAACTGGTTAACCTGCTGCTCCCAGGGGCCGCACTCCATGCTCCCTGGTACCTTCTGGGGAGGAAATGGTGGAGGAGAGTGGGGTCCCTGTGCAGGACGACTGGTCAATAGCGCCCGATGAGGACAAGGTCAGATTCTCACTTTCTGGAGTCACCCCGCATTCCTGCAGGGTGGGAGACAGGCCAGGGGACAGGCAGGGAGACTGAGTGCGTTCAGACAGAACCATGTGCTGGGAGACATAAGGGGAGGGGCTGCGATGATGAAGGGGCGGGACTGCGAGGAAGGGGCGGGGCTGAGGACGAAGGGGCGGGGCTGCAAAGATGAAGAGGAGGGGCTGAGGACGAAGGGGCGGGGCTGCAAAGATGAAGAGGAGGGGCTGAGAACGAAGGGGCGGGGCTAGGGCGACGGGGCGGGGCTGTGAGCAAGAAGGGGAGTAGGGCCTGGGGTGTGCCCGGCCAGCAGCTTCGGGTGTCACCTCTTCATCAGCCCTGACTGGACAGTGTCTCCAGGGGATGAGCGGTCTTCAGTCAGCACACCTGCCTGAGGCAGCATCTGCCAGGGCTGCACAAAGCCTGCAGCTCAAGTGACATGGGTCACCTGGCAGCTGGGACACGGGGACACCCCAGGGTTATGAACTGCTTTCCTTTAAATGGTGAAAGGACAGGCAGCAGCAGAGGCCTCCACTTGCAGTGCCCGTCCCCTGGTGTCTGTGATTCTAAGCTGTCCACCCAGAGCTGACACCATCTATCCTCCGGGACCTGGTCCTGTCCCCCATGGCCGGCCACCTGGCCCAGATCCAGGGAGAGGCTGACTGGGCGTTCTGACCCTGTGACCCTTCAGGCACCGGCTCCTGCTCAGAAGCCCTGCCCTGTGGCCTCCTGTCTCGCCGTCTCGCGAGGCCCAGATGCTGTGTGTCAGGAGTGGTCCTGGCCCCCTCCTCCTGTCTAAATACTCTGGAGGTTCAGCACAAATGCTCCTCTAATTGGATTTCTGACCCCTCCTCAACCACCGAGCGCCCAAGCTCCATGAGGGCAGGTGCTCTGGTCCTATCCTGGCTACTGCGGGCCGTGCTGCTGTTACAGACCGCTGAGTCGGCCCAAAGCCCCCACTCACAGCTGGGTGGTGGGTGCAGGAGGGACAGGGCTGGGAGTCCATGCCGGAGTGCCCAGAGGCCTGCCACCCACCCTCCACCGCCTCTAGCACCGATGACACGCCTGGTAGGTGCTGGCAAATGAAGACCACATCTGCTGCTACCCAGAGGGCACGGGCAAGGTGTCGATGAATGAATGAAAGCAGAAGGCGTGAGGGGGGATGCAGGTTGAAGGAGAGAGACCACCACCCAAACAGCAGACAGATGTACGTACCTCCCCGAGATGCTGCACAGACTGCCCCTGAGGGAGCTGAGATTCAGACTCGGTGCAGGAACGATCGTCATCTTCCTCGTGTAGCACAGAAGAATTCTGGGAAATGGAGCTGTGGAAGCCAGGGGGCAACAGGTGTACATACCACCCACCGATACCTGAGGACCAGAACTGACTGCGGGAGGGGAGGGCTGTGGGAGATTTCAGGGAGAGCACACCTTAGGGAGAACAGGGTGGCGGGACTGGAGCACTGAGCGGGCTGAGGATGGTGCGGCGGGAACGGAGGACAGGGCGGCGGGAACGGAGGACAGGGCGGCGGGAACGGAGGACAGGGCGGCGGGAACGGAGCACTAAACAGGCCGAGGCATCGCCAGGGTCAGAAGGCCTTGGTCTGAGCTTTGGCTCCTTCAGTAACTCATTGTCTGAACTTGGGGGAAACCACTGGCCTTTCATAAGCTCAATCTTCTCACCTATAAAATTCTTCACAGTTACCACAGAACTCATGTTTGGTGGTGCAGTGACCCCTAAACAAGCGATGGGAGCCAGGCCCTGTGCTGTGCCATCCTCACACATGGTCCAGCCCTGGGCTGCAGTCAGTCACTGTCAGTCCTTGTGGAGGGTCTTTTCCTCTTTGGCTAACTGTCTGTCTTCCAAGGACTGGCCTTCCTGACAACACGCTCCAGGCATGTGAGACGACGCTTCACACGCTGGCCTCTAGGGAGCACGCTGGTTGCACGTCTCTGAGACCTGCTCCACGGCACTTAAACGGTCAGGATCACAAGGCTCCCTCTGCCCTTGGATGCACTGAAGCCCCCGGGGGCCACGGTGACCAGTGTGTAACCTCCTCTGAAACCAAACCACCGCCAGGGAGTTGGTTCCAAGTGTGGGAGACCCTGCACCGACTGGGCTTCTGAGGCCGGAAGTCTTCCCGGAAGGAGCCCGCTCACCTCCCTCCAGCGGAGCGGCTGATGGACTGACTGCTTTTGGTCAGCAGTCCAACACCTTATACACTGCACCACCACAGCTCCTTGACTCCCCATTTCATGTTCCCCTTAAAAAAACCAACCCAACCACATCTGGGAAGGCCTGTCCGACCTAAGCACATGCACACTCCCTTTTCCTCCCTTCAAGGTGGCATCCCCTTCCTTTCAAGGTCTAACTGCAGGTGAGACAGAAGCTCTCAGATGAGCCCAGGTCTCCTGGGCCCTGGGGACCAGGATGAGTTGGCCCTGAGGGACTGGAGGACGACAGGAGCGTCTGTCTCTGAATTCCAGGCAGTGCCGCGGGGATACTCACTTGGAGACACTCTTTTTGAGCTTGAGCCCTTGACTGCTGGAGTCTGACAGGCGGTCCAGAGGGGAGAGTGTCCGGACAGGGGGCAGATGGCCGTCACTGCCGTACGAAGGCAGCATTCCTGAGAGGTGGCCGTCTCCGAGCACGTGAAGTGGTGGGACTGCGGGGGACGGGGTGAGGGGCCCATTGAGAGCCTCCAGGAGAGACACCACTTCATACCCCGGTGGGACATTCTCCGAGGACTAGGGTGACAGAGACAGGTAGGAAGGTTAAATAAAAGCCTTCTTTTCAAATCATGCTCCCATTTCTCACTCTGCAAAAGTGGTGTCCGTCTCATCTGGCTGCCCGGGGACGCTTCTGCCTTAGAGGCAAAGGAAAGCGACACTGGCAGAACTGCACTCCTCGAGCCTGCTTACGCAGTCCTGGCAGCACGGGGAGTTAGGAGCTGGGCTGTTAACCAAGAGGTCAGCAGTCTGAATCCACCAGTCACGCTGTGCAAGAAATAAATGCAGTCTCTTCCCATCGGGATTTACAGCCTTGGACACCCAAACAAGGGCAGCTAGGAGTTGAAACAGACTTGATGGCAGAGGGTTTGCCTGCTCATAACTTTAAAAAAATTTTTTTTTATTTTATTAATTTTTTTGTGTGTACCGTCAAATTGGATCTGACTGGTACAGGAGATTGTCCCTCCTTCTCCAGCATGCAGTTTCTTGCCACTAGGCCACCAGAGCTCCCTATAACTTTTTTTAATATTTTTTTTTCTGATGATGAAATAACGAATAGTATGTGTTATAGGAGATTTAGAAAATGATGATGAAATAACGAATAGTATGTGTTATAGGAGATTTAGAAAATGTACTCACGGGCTAAAACCACTAATAATAAAATCACTAAAAGCCACCTTTTGGTAACAGTTGGCTGTCTTTTCTAATATGTCCCCACACTGTATACAGAGCTGTGATCTGTCTGTAAACACCACTTCAGTATCTTGCTTATTTCCCTGAACATGAAGATTTTTCTGTTTCTGAAACCTCGCCTCCATGTCCCCCTGTCCTGGATAACCGATGCTTCCCTGTTGTTGCTGTGTACCAAGGCGCCGATTCTGACTCGAGGTGACTGCAGGTGACAGAGGAGAGCTGCCTCACAGGGCACCGGGGCTGTAACATCTCCAGGGCAGACCCCGAGGGTCTTCCTCTCACAGGGCGGCTGGTGGACTTGGGCTGCGACATTCTGACGAGCAGCCGAGTGCTGAATCACTGTTCCACAAAGGTCCACTCTTCTCCTCGTGCCGGTCATTAGTTCGGTCTAACCTTTCCTATTGCAGGCAATGCTTTGATGTGCATCCTATGCAGAAACTCCTCTCTCCTACCCTAGTTTTTCTTTGGTACTAAATTTTTAGACCATAGATTACCAGGTATGGCTTTTCAAATATTCATTTTCTTGAGTTTTTAGTTAAAGTTTACACAGGAAAGCTCCTGTCATTTACCAGCTTCAGTACCTGCTGCTTGCTGGCATGTGTTCCGTGCCACACTGCTGCTCTGGTTACGTCAGCTTCCCTGTCCCCTGACGACCGCCCCCACACCCTCATCTTGTCACCTGAGCTTTAAGGTAAAAGCTGACCCTTTGGCCACAGAGAAATGATTTTCAAAAAGGAGCTCAGCACTCAGGCGTGACACAGTTATTTCATGAGCCGGCCTGTTACTAGCCGAACGGTGGCCTGTGGGAGTTGTGCCAGCCCAAAGTTTAAAGGATACCTCGGTGGCAACATGGGAGCTTAGATGTTTTCAAGGCTTTTGATATAAAACTGGTGTTTGCACGTTTTTCCCTCACTGAGAAAATGCTGTCTGTCCCAGCCCTACCAGCACTGCTGAGGGCCCAGCTGAAGGCATCTCTGCCAGCACTGCTTGCCTTTAAATCTCATCTGAAAGGTGAATAGCAGCATCACTATCATCTGCAGCATTTTTCACTTCGGTGTGGACGAACTCCACTTGTGCAAGGTGGTTAGTTACCCAGCTCTGCTGCTGTGGGGAATCTGTGCTTTGCATCCTTTGCCCATCTAGCTACTTTTTATTTATGATTTTCCCTCCCGGAGCTGCCAGAGAGTTACTGGCCTTTCTTCTGATATGTATGTTGTAAATAAATTTTAAAAATATGGTTGATTTTCCTTGCATTTCAGTGGCTTCTCAGGCCTTTGAAGTTGGCATTGTTGTATAATAAAATGGACCAAGTCTTTCCTTTGTCATTTTCAAGTTTGGAGTCACCCTCCCTTTCCAGAATCAATGGAATAATCTTTTATCATTCTAGGTTTCTAAGGTTTGGCTCTGTTTCCTTGGTTTTGAATACAGTGAACCGGCTACACCCTTTGGAATTTATGGTCAGGTAAGGAGGAAAGCACTCCACTGATTCCCCCCTTAAACAGCTGATTATCCAGCACCGTTTGCTGAGTGAGGACTCCCTTCCTCGGTGGGTTACTCAAAGCAAACTGTCTGCAGGCTCCACGGCTGCTCTCGGCACTCACGCACCAGAATTAAAATGGGACCAGATGCCCTGTCTACTCCACTCTCAGTCGTTCAAGCTAAACGTAGTAAACTGTATTCAAATCCCAGACAACTTGTGGGAGTCCCAGAGCCAGACCCCCTGGAGTGTCCACTGGGAGCAGAGAGCTCTAGAAATGGTTACTGTTAACTGGACAGCAAGGGCCAGGAGGAAAAGGGAGTTCAGAGACCAGTGCGAGCTTTCCCACTGTCCTGTCTTCTAACACAGCGGGTCCTTGATGGTTTACTTCAGTGTCTAAGGTTTCACTCCTTGCTGCAGCATGGTGAGAAATGGGAGCAAACGGGTGACAAAAGGCAGCCAGGAGGCCGTGGTTCCAAGCCCGACTTACGGAATGCTCTTCGGAGTCAGATGTCTGGGATGAGATGATGGGGTTGAAGCTGGTTGGGGAGAGAGGGCCCAGTTTTTTCCTCATGGCTCGGATCTGGAGCAGCGCGCGGAAAGCTGTGAAGATGGCAGTCAGTCAGGACGTTCTGATGCAGGAGTGACCAAGGACCCAGACAAGGGTTCCCTCCTCCCGGGCACGTGTGGCCACCCCTGCTCCTCCTCCTGGACACACGTGGCTGCCCCCTGCTCCTCGCAGGCACGTGGGCCCAGCAGTGGCCTGTGGCCTCAGTCCCACCTGCTGGGAGCCTGGACTTACGGAGCCGGCAGATGGGGCAGTTGTTGGCCTGGTAACGCAGGGTGTCCGCACAGGTGTTACAGAGGCAGAGGTGGCGGCAGGGCAGGATCAAGGTGTCCCGGACGTCGGAGAGACACACCACGCACTCGGCACTGTTGTCACTCACCTCATCCTCTGCCACCTGCCAAGGAGACAGAGTTCACTGAGGGCACAGTGGCCTTCAAGTCACACCCTTTACTGACTAGCAGCCTGGCTAAAGAGCTCATCCCCGGGGGGCTCTGCTCTGCTCTGACAGCCTGAGCTGAGGGGACAGCAAAAACTCTACAGGTGAGTGTGAGAGGACAACAGAGGAACTTGCTGGGCTGAAAAGAGCAACCAGACGCCACTACAGACCTACAGAGTACTGTGGCCACACTGAGGGAAGCTCAGACCACTGCTGACCGTCCACCGGCTGTCCCAGGCTGAAAGCCTTAATGGGAAGAATCTGCTCATCTCTCTCCTACAGGCTGGCTGGTGGAGTCAAGCTGCCAACCTTTGGCTAGCAGTGTACCATTTAATGGATTATGCCACAGACCTCGAGAGAGATGTTTGCGGTTGTGGCTGAGCTGTGCTCGACCAGAACAGACTCCTGGCTGACCCTCCAGTGGGTTTGCAGAGGCTGTAAACAGCGCAGGAGGAGACTGACCTTCCTTCTCCAGTGGGGCATGCTCCTTACCACTAAGTCACCAGAGCTCTCAGACAGAAATGTGGTGAGCACGACTCACGGCGAACCTACGAGCAGCTGACCTGAACCCGGTGCCATCCTCGTCCTCTGACACACTAGAGCTCACTGCTGAAGTCACTGTGCCAATCCCTCACCTTCAGGGGTCTTTCTCTCCTTCACTGACCCTCCATCTTTCCAAGCACGATGTCCCTGTCCAAGGAACAGCCTCTCCTAGCTCTACGTCTGGAGAAATAGTCACCTGAAATGAGGAATGAGGAGTACCCTTCTGGGAACTAACAATTCCAGAGCTTGCACACACAATTCCCGATTCTGGTCCAGGACATGTTAGGAGGGAAGCTCTGGGCAGTATAAATGGTTAAGGCGCAAGGCTGCTAACTAAAAACTTGCTGGCTCAAGTCCACCCAGAGGTGCCTTAGAAGCAAGGTCTGGCGAGAAGTCAGTCACAGAAAACCTGTGCGATACATTCTACCATGACACCGGGGGTCCGAGGATGACACTGCTTCTTGGGAAGAACCCCTTGGGAATTCTGGATAACTTACCTTGGACTCCTGCGTGTTGTACTTGTTTTCAATCCCATAGATCTCCTGGAGGAGGTAGCTAACTCCATCCACCTGGAAGCAGATGGAAAAGTTCAAGGACAGGTTGACGCGTCTGAACATCCCCCGCCTGCCTTTGGTAACCAAGGACGACGCACACACAGTGAAAGAATTGGATGGAGGCCTGGACGTGCCAGGGGCACTTTTATCGTGTTTTCTCTTCTTAAGAGGAAAAAAAAAGTTTTTAATTCTTCCACCATTATGTTCTGTAGGAGCATGAAACATCACAAACATGACAGGGGGCTTGCACTGCAGTTCCGTGACCAAGAAATGGAAGTGGGCGGTACTGTGTCTGCATGTATTTAGAGTAATGGGTAGCAAAATTACACATTATTTCCCCCCCCTTCTTTCTGATAATCTGAATTTTCTAATCTTTATTAAAAAACTATTAGCCATGTAATAAACTCTAGGTATGAAAATAAAGGCAGAGGTAAAGAGGCAATAAAGTGGGCAAGGATCAAGAGGGAGAGGGAAATGTGGGTGAAAAAGTATAAGACCTTGAATCAGAGCCCAACTCAACCCCAACGTCCCCCCACAAATTGCAAACACACAGCAAAACTGTCCCCATTGGGCATCTGTCTCTCAAAACCCAGACCTCCATCCAGCGCTCTGAACTGGTTCCACCTGGTGCAGTCGACACTGGAATGGACTTGAACTTTTAAAATGTGGGTGAGCTGGAATGCTGACTATAACAGGAAGAGTTACAGTCGGAACCTGCTGGACACTTCTTCCTTCCTCTTAGAAAGGAAGAGCAGAGTTGGAGTTGCAGAGCGACAGAACGTCTCTGCTAGGCCAGAGGAAAACCGTGTCTCACGCCCCACTGAGTACACGAGGCTCCTGAGAGGCTTACTGTGTCCTTCCAAGTCTCCCATTCCAAGGCTCTGCAATGGTATTTATAATGTTTCCCATTCTGATTAATGGAAATTAATGAAAATGAAACTAATTAAAAGTCTGCCTTTCTTCTGGTTCACTCAATCCACCCTGACTGGGCAGACCTCAATAGGTTTGGAGTCCATGTCCTACACCCCATCTCTCTCACTAGCCTGGGTTATTTGGGTCTCACAGTTGGATTTCCTTAGGGAGTGGTCTCCTCCCCTAAGACCATGAGAATGGTGTAGGGCCAGGCAGGGTTTGGTGTACACAGGGTCACTGTGAGTTGGAGTGGCCCCTAACAACCACCACAACAACAATCTAGTCTTCCTCTGACTTCAAGTCCGACTGTGCAGTCTGACACCAATCTAGCAGGACACAGACAAATCCCTTCCCTCTAGCCACCTGCTCCAGCCCATCGAGGCCTTCTAGCTGCTTCTTGGACAACCAGGACTGAATGAGACAACTCTCCTTTGCTTAGATGTTTCTTCTCTGCTCATCTTAAAACTGGTTTTATCAGCATGACTATACTCAATGCTGTTAATAAAATTCCTAACAAATTTATACTAAAGTGTTATTGACTACTATTTGTTCTATTAAAAGGTGGGTGACTATTTAACTCAAAAGACTAAACAAAAAAGAACTTGGGGTATCTTTCACCCATCTGCAGGGGCTTCTGTTTCCAACTTGGCTTCGCGCCCCTGGGGCAGGCTACCCCATGCCCACTCACACTGGCAATGCTCCTCCACAGCTCTCCCGATCGTATGGATGCCAAGGGTACACCTGAGCTCTCCTCCTGCCTCTGTAAGAAAGGCAAGTGAAGTGTGGGCCCACCGGGGGAGGCGCCAGCTGCTAGCACTACTTGTCCGTCACACTGCAGGGCCAGACGGCCAGCAAACCACCAGCAAACCATAAACTTCAGAAAATGAATGGCGGGATGAATTCATTCCAGGGGCTCTGCCTCTGAATTAGACCCTAACACTCTGTTCTTTTCACTCTGGCATTTCAGACAAAAAAAGTTTCTCCCTGATTTCTCTAGTTCTCAGCTCAGATAATGGCTGCTTCAAAGCCAACGATTAGGGAACAATAAAGACACCAAAACTCGGCATTCCTTTCTGACTCCCCGTGTTGCTTTAACAAAGGAAAGCACTTTTTTTTCTTTTCTTTGATTAAAGGTGGAGCAGGGCTGTGGACTCTAGTCCAGTGTCCATTGCAGCATTACTTACAACGGCCAGAAGGTGGCAGCAACCCAAATGCCCATCAACAGATGAAAAGTGAACAGAACGACGGTGGCTTTTGTTAGGTGCCTATGACTCATAGAGACCCTATGTACAGAGTTCTGAACCCTGCTCTATCCTGAGCCACTCTGACACCAACACACATAATCCCATCACTCCAGTTATCATGCCAACCCATCTCATCCTGGGGTCTTCCTCTCCTGAGCTATCCGTCCACCCTTCTGAGTGTGATGTCCTTCTCCAAGGACTGGTCCCTCTTGGCCACATGCCCAGAGTATGTGAGACAGAGCTTCAAAATCCTTGCCTTCGGAGAGCAACTTGGTTTCACCCTCTCCAAGAGACTTCTTCGTTCTGGTGGTCCATGGTATGTTCAAGACTCTTCTCTAGCACTACAACTCAAAGGCATCAATAACTCTTCTGTCAACCTTAGTCATTATCCAGCTCTCTGATGTACAGCATGTAACTGTGAAAATCATGGCCTGGATCAGGCATATCTTAGTCTCTAGACTGACATCACTGCTCTTCAGCACTTGGGAGAGGAAAGCAAAACTTCCTCAGTGCAATTCATCTTTTGATTTCCTGACTGCTGGTGCCAAGAGTGTTGATTGTGGAGCTGAGCAAGCTGAAATTGTTAATAACCTCAATCTATTCTCCATCCATCATGAAGCTGCCATTTGGCCTAGTGGTGGGAAATGTCTTCTTGATGTTTAGCTTCAATCTATATTGAAGACTGTAGTCCTTTATCTTCTGAAACAAGTATTTCAGGGCCTCCTCAGTTTTGGCAAGCAAGGTTGCGTCTTCTGCACAGGGGAGGTTGTTGATGAGTCTTCCTCCAACCCTGAGGCCACATTCCTCCTCATGAAGTCCAGCCTCTCAACTGATCTGTTCCACATATAGATTGAAAGGTATGGAGACACACTCCCTTTCTAATTTTGAACCATGAAGTATTTCATTTCTCTGACAACTGCCTCCTGGTTCAAGTATAGATTTCATATAAGCCCAAGTCGTGTATATACAAAAAGGTGTATTATTCAGCCACAAAGACCAACGAAGTTCTGAGACCTGCTCCAACATGGAGGCATCTCAAAAACCCGCCAAGAAATAGAGCCTAAAGACTGCATACTGTGATTCTATTAGCTGAGCTGTCCGGAGTGGGCAAAGCAGACAGTGAATGAAAGATTAGCAGGGCGGAGAGGAGTGGGGTTAATACTTAACGGGTACATAGTTTGTGTTTAATACTGTTTCTGCAATAAGTAATAGTGATGCTTGCACTGTCCCATGAACATGATTAAGGTGTACAAGGGAGTTCTGGTGTCTCAGTGGTAAAAACTGTTCTGTAATCCCAAAGGCAAGTGTTCTGACCCCCAGCCGCTCCACAAGAGAAGGATGGACAATCTCCTCACGTGATTTACTGTCTTCGAAAACCTATTGGAGGGGCAGCTATGAGTTGGTTCCAACTTAATCATATACAACGTTTAAAAATAGGTAAAAGAGCAATTTTTGTTATGTATACTTTAGGGGGTTTTTATGTGTAGAGAAAATTCTTTAAAAGAGAGAAGAGGAAGAAGAGTATGTAGCGAAAAAGAGAAAAGCTAAATAAAAGGAGGACATACAGCAAAGGTGGCTGAGCCTCAGACACTTACGACTTGCTTCTGTTTGAGGGGCTTGACACAGAAAGTCCCGTCTGAATGCTGGAATGAAAATGTGACAGTTAGGAGGAGGCAGGGAGGCCGGTAAACAGTCAGCGTCCTAACGTCCACTTCTCTAACGACATACACTCTGGGACACCCACAGCTGGAATGACAGTCTCTCAAGATAAGGAAAGGAGCCCTGGTGGAGCGCTGGTTAAGCGCTTGGCTGTTAACTGAAAGGTGAGTGGTTCTAACTCCCTAGCTGTGTCTTCTCGCCACTGAGATGATATGTTACTGTGAGGCTTACAGCCTTGGGAGCCCGAGGAAGGATGTCCACTCTGTCCTCTAAGGTCGCAGTGACGAGAAGGATCTGACTGTCAGTAAACAAGTAAGGAGGGAGGCCTGGAGGGTGCAAACCGGGCTTGGCTGGACCAGAACGGCTGATACTTTGAATTTACCAGTAGAAAAACCTGGGAATCTACTTTGGAAAATTCAGCCTCTGAAACCTGCAACCACAGTTCTGCTCTGACACACGTGGTCGCTGAGTTAAAACGGACTCGCCAGCAACCAGTCAGTGGAGCCCGGAAGGGTCTGACAGGTAGTGAGTCCAACCCCACCATTTCCGGAAGACAAAGGTGAGTCGAAGGTCAGCTTGAGGCATGGCTGGAATCAGACACAGGTCAGTCCTCATTCCAGGGTCCTCCAGCATCTCACAGCTGACCCACCTGGCCAAGCCCCACAGCCAGTGGGCATGAAAGAATGCATCGATGGAGTCAAGTGTGTCACTCACCTTCTCAAAAGTGCCCAGCAATACGTGACAGTGGCCAAAATACTCTAAAAAAAATGAAAGGCACATAGGTAAGGAGAATGAACCCCCCGACACATGGCTGCCCAGTCACCACTCGAGTTCTCCTGTCTGGTGAACCAGAAGGGGCATGGGCCATCACCCAACATTCAGCCTCAAAAACCTGGGACCCTGGATGAGGAGGTTATAGGAACTGCAGGCACGCCATGCTGTTCAGGGCCAAGCTGCGGCCGGGATCGTGAACCACAAAGGGCACTGGGGCTCCCGGAGACATCAATCACCCTACCGTCGCCTTCATCCACTACGGCATGCACCACCAATGGGTACACCTCCCGGTCCAGATCGAAGCCAAGCTGCAGGGAAGGAAGGAGGAGAAAACAGGGATGTAGGACATTCAGTGCAACAGTGGCTGTCATGGAGGGAGGCCCCGCTGAGAGGCTGAGCCCCATCTCTGCTCTCATTCACCACCCCTAAACCTCGAGTCCCTGTGACACCTATAAAGTCTAGTCAGCACCTCTGGGAAGCCCTCCACGGGTAAGGAACAAACTGCAGGTTCTCTTCTCTGAGCACAGAGATCTTAAAATTCATACTTGGAGAGACAAACTGAGGCTAGCTGTACTGCTGGTGTGAAATATGCAGCCATTCAGAGGCCTGAGGAGAGGGACAGGCTCCCAGGTGAGCAGCCCCCTTGTCTGGCAGGACCTTGCGGGCTGAGGAGCAGCTGCCTTGAGATTTCGTCCTACAGACCCCGAGGGAGGGAAACGGTTCACGTGAGGGTTCGAGCCCGCACCGAGGGGTCGTCCCAGGAGGAAGGACTGGTAATTTGCTTCTGAAGAGCAGCCACTGAAATCCCTCCTGAGGCACCTGTAAAAAGCTGCGTGACAGATTTACAGCGTGGACACCAAAGCGCTCCTGGGGCTTAGTTCTTTGGTTGGAGGCTCAGTGTGATGGTTTCACGAGACACTGCAGCTAAATAGTCTGGAAACATGTTTAGCTTGTGCTCTAATTCACAGTGTAGGACTTGGGTCTTAAAAGGTTCCCAAGAGCCATCCACGGAACAAGTGTCTCCATTTGTCTGGAGCAGTAAGGGAGGAAGGGGAACCTGGTTTAGGAAGAGGAAATGTGGTGCTGCCAAATAACTGTCTCCTGTGCCATGAAACTAAAGGAACTGGATGTGATGGGCTGCTATTATGGTACATTTTGATAAAAAATTCTGTAGACGAATCTTGGTCAAAAGGGGGAAAATGCAGAACAGAATTTCTAATCTTACCAAAAGTCAGACTTTCTGGAGCTATGGAAGCTCTATGAACCCTTAAAACTATTGTCCTGAGACAATCTTTAAACCTTAAGCCATAAATATCCCAAGATCTTCTTAAAACTCAACAACAGTTTAGCTTGATTAGTAAATGTGTCAAAAAGGAACAAACAGGTATGTCTTAGAGAAGGTACAGCTAGAGTGTTCTTCAGAGTGGAGGATGGTGAAGATGCACCTCATATACTTTGGGCATGTTGTTAGGAGGGGTTATTCCTCAGGAAGGGATTCATGGCTGGGAAGGGAGAGGGACAGTGAAAGAGAGGGGGACCTTCAATGAGATGGACGGACACATCAATAGGCTCAAGTGTGTCAGACAACAAGGACAGCACAGGATCACCCCGGGTTCAGGTCTGCTGTCCACAGGGCTGCTATGGATAGTACCTCATAAGAAGGGTAAGTGTGTGCCTTGAACAGCACACTCTTAAGAAATATCTGTACGGGATCAAATGAAAACAGCAGTTTGAAAGATGAACAGGAACCTTAGAGGTCATGAATTTCTATTAATAGGAGGAACCACCCAGAAAAGGAGGGTGAAGATGGATGTACAGTTCGAAGGACTGAATCAAGGCCCTGGGGTGGTGTGTAACCTGCTATAAATTCTCTTAATAACAACTCCTTGTTAAAATAACGAGATACTCTGTGAGCTCAGCTCTGTTCACACACACACACGGGCTGCCGTGAGTCGAAGTGGACTCAGGAGGAACTGGAGAGACAGCTCACCTCCTCTTCTGCCCATTCCGAGGGGTCCACGGTGTGGGAGGGCAGGCAGAACTGCTGGCACACCCCTCGCTTGTAATGCACCGTCTCTGACTGGAGGCTGTTGTCTTTTGGGATGTAGCTATCGATTGAAGCAAGAAGCAAAGCAGGATAAGTATTCAGGCCAGTAGGGCTGACAGTTCCCTCAGTCTCTCTCTGGTCAACATGCCTTGGCATAGAAAAGGTGCCCTTGAAAATCTCTTTCCTCTGTTCTCAGTTGGTAATGCTATTAAACGTCTCCATTCAACCCATACGGCCCCAGAAAGGTTGCTTCATGTATTAGGAAAAGCACCCTAATAACCATAGCTCTATAAAGAACCATGGCACCATTTGAGGGGATGAGAGGGGCAAGTGAGCTTTCACAGAACACCTGAGTTCAGGAACCAGCTCTTCCCTGGTGGGAAAAGAATACCTTCCTCTTCAGGTGAGAGTGCAGGGCAGTGACCCTAAGATGTGTGGGGAGGAAGCTGCTCACCTGGCCTCTTGTCCTCACCTGGCAATGCCGTTCTGGAACTCCTCGGTGGCCTGGTAGTAGATGGTGATGGCCACCCGTGCATCTGTGTCGAAGGTGAACTCTACATTGTAGGAGACTTTGGCTTTGCTGGCCTCTTCACCTGGGCTCTTCACCTCTTCCGCGCATCTAGGGAGCCGTAAAAGACTCAAGTGTTTTAAAAATGAACGTTTCACTTTGGTTCTGGCAAAAATATACAGAGCAGCATCCACTCCTATTCCACGGTTTCCAGACAATAACAATCTGTGACACTGGTGACATTCTTCATATCTGTTAATAGTATCATTATTTCTCTTCTTGTTTCACTTCCATTAGCTTAAACCCCCTGCCGCACAACATTCCATCTATATTTTAGAACAGTTGACCCTTTAATATTTTATAGCACACACACACACACACACACACACACACACACACACACATTAAAACTCAGTACCCAATCTTTTTAATCTCTGAGCTACATTGTTACTCAGTTTAAAAGTAATTCTGGAGGAAGTTTCAGCTAAAGATTTGAAGAGCAACTCAAGGACTCCGGAGCTGTCTGGGGTGACCCATCCAGCCTCAGTAGGTTCAGTTAGTTTAGATTCTTTAAGAATTTGAAGGTCCACGCCACACCTTTCTCCCTTCTCTACCAGAATCCTTCAGTGCCTATTTACTGATGATCAGAATATTCAACAGCTGTCGGGCACCATCTAGCTCTTCTGGTCACTTGGAGGGGTGGGGGCCACAGGGGTTCCTAGAGATCATTAGTTGTGTCCGATTCCTTCTCTGATTTTTTTTGTTTTTCATTTTTCTTTTATTTCAGATTACTAGAAGACTCAGCATTTTGAGTAAAGTATACAAACATGGTGACATTTATCATCACCTTACATTCTTTTACCTAGGAGTTATTTCTACAATTAACATCCCTGAGCAATAGCCAGATCTTTTTCATGTCTTTGTTTTAGTTTTTATTTTAGTTAAAGTTATTAATCACATAGTTCAAATAGTTTCCACAAAGCTTTTTACAAAACCCCAGCAGGACCCACTCCTCCCCTCCCCTCCTCTCTCATTTTGTAAGAAATCACTTTCACCTCTTCAGGCTGATCAGTTTTTGCCACAGACCCACATGTTTCTAAATAACATGTTCAGATTACTATTTACTTTTGCAGCTTTAGCTATTTTATTGGTTTCTCACCATGGGAAGGAAGATCTCTACCTCTCCTCCCACTCTGCCACCCTGAGTGAAGATACACCATCACTCTGCTAGGTCAGGAGCTCCTGCACTGCTGTGACCGTAGAAATAACCTTCGCAGCCTAGACATGTCATTATCGCTCACCACTGGTCCTCACCTGCACACATTTTCTCTCAGAGCCTACACTGGTTTTGCTCTTTATGTTGCAGTTTTGTGTTCATGATTCATACTCCCACCGTCTACCGGCTTAAAATGTTTAGTCGCCCCAGGTGTTGTATTTGTGCCGTCTTCTGGAGTCCTTACTTTTAGAGTCCCCTGATGGCTCTGGGCTCCTCGACCCTGTCCAGCCCACAGCGCTCCCCAGTCTGGCCCTCGGCTCCCCCCTATTTGGCCCTTGGCGTCCTCTACCTGGCACACAGTGTCCTCTGGACTCTCCCAAGCATCCTGGCCTTTCACACAGCCTCATTTTTTCCTGCATTTTACATCTTCCTGCTTGTTGAGCTACTTGTTCATTTTGGTGGAGTGCACAGGAAGCTGTGTCCAGCTTCTTGAAAGAGGGTGTGCTGAGGGCATAAACTTTTGAGAGTTTTGGTTTTTTCCAAACACTTTAAATTTGCACCCAATCTTTTCTCAGAGAAATTGGAGTGAACGTTATCTCTAGTCACTGCCCACCTAACATGACTATGGGGAAGCGGGTTGGAAGGGTGAATGGTGGTCGTGCCACCATCTTTACTACCCTCTCTTCCTGGAAAGTTTACGTGAGCAGAGGCCTGAGACTGCAGAGGCAGCTGCTGAAACGTCCCTCCATCCTTCAGCTCCCAGCACGGCGTGGCGCTGCGGACGCTCTCTTCTGAAAGCTAACGCAACCTCTTCTCTCTCCTCCACTGTACTGGGCACATTCAGATCCTTTCCATTTAGAAACACGTGTTCTCTGCTTCTGGGAAATGTTCTTAAATTATGCACATGAGTGGTGATTTTCTTCCTTTCAGATCCCCTCTTGTCTCTTTCTAGAAGCATTCATTAACGGGGACTGAAGCTTGTAAACCGGTCCATAACCGCACCTCCCCTCTTCTGGTTCCCACCTCTCTGCCAATCAGCTCCACGCCCTAGGATCTTGATATTTCATCAATCTACTGGCCTTGTCATTTCTGCCTCTGCTTCAAATTTACAGGCACTTCATTTGGTTTCTTAAAGTTTGTGTCTTTGTGTCCATGAAATAGCAGGGAGCACCCTCTCTTCGTCCCTGAGTTGTACATGAAGGGCTTCTTTCAACACAGGTTTGATTTCTGCTCAGCTGCTTCCATCCATCCCTGTCTTTCCTATTATAGCCGTTCCTCACATGGGTAGGGATTTTGGATGTCTGCTCATTTTTAAGAGATCTGGGAACTCTGAGCTTCCCTGAGGGTCCACCTGGCTGCGCTGCTTGTTGCCGGACTTCAATACCAGTCTTCTGGTCTCTCCATTTGGGTAGGCAGATTCTCCAGAGATTTTCTCTCTTTCCTGGTGAAGACCTGCTGGTAGGCATGAGGGGAGCGTGTGGGGAGGTGAGCTCCTGCAGGGCCTGCTTTGCCACAGACAGAATGTCTTTGGTTCTGACCCACTAGCTTCTCTGCAGGAGCAATATGTGGCAGGCAGTGGGACACAGCTGCAGCAGGCTTGGCTTTGGCTTTAGGGGTGAGGAGGGGGGTAAAAACTGTACACATTAGAGTGGTGATGGCTGCTCAGCCCTGCAAACACACTGCGGGTCAATGAACAGCTGATTTTAAAAGGACAAACTGTATGGCATGTGACTTGCCTCCTAATAAAAAGCTACACTAAACATTTATTTTTTTTTCTCAGTACAAGGCTCCTAATGCTAGTAAGGCTGACCGGCACACAGGTGAGAGGCACGCTGGCGCTGCGCCGTCCCCTGCCTGCGCAGGTGGAGAGCTTACCTGACCAGCCTCAGAGTGTCCTTTCGGATGTTGACCAGGCTCCTCAGCGTCTTCACGGGTTCTTGAGGAGGTGGGGCGGCATAGGGGAACTGCCAGAAACAGCGGGAGAGGCACGCAGTTAGCCTGCTGATGGAGACCCCACAATGCTTTACAGAACCCAGGTGAGGTGGGGCGGCACCGCTGACCCCGACTCCAACCCAGATTGACTGAACTTGCTCAAGTTCACAGTTATCAGGACTGGAGGTTCAAGTTAGCCTCAAAATCACCAGATTTACCTGTTCTTCCATTAAGTGTCATGTATCTGGGTCACTCTTTAGAACCAGAATGATAATCAGATATTCCTACTAAAACATAAAAAGCTCCAACATCAGAGGGCACAAGGTGGTGAGGCTATCACAACAGGCTTTCCCCCTGACCTGAGATGCCACAAGCCTTCTCTTCTCCCCTGGAGCTCCAAGGGGCCTCAGGAACTTAGCAGGTAGGGGCGCAAAGAAAGGAGAGGGTTCCCGTGCGGAGGGGAGGCTCAGACCTTGAGACCCTGGAGGACCACACTGTGCGGGAAGCACTGAGCTGGAGAAGCCGCTCTGCGGGGGCAGGACATGGACACTCACCACCATCTCCCCGAAACCACTTCATTTTCTCAGAGCTTTGGATAGAGAGTTCTGTTTTCCAGTCAAGTGAGACTCACAGCAACCATATGAACAACAGATCTAAATCCTGTCCTATCCTGTGTCATCCTCATCACACACTCAAGCCACTGCTGCTGTCACTGTGTCAATTCATCTCAATGAGGGGTTTCCTCCCTTTCGCTGACCCTCACTCTCAACCTTTCCAAGCATGATGTCCCTCTCCAAGGAACAGCCTCTTCTAGTAACATGTTCAAAATAGCATTCTGGCTGTACTTTCTCTAAAATATGTATTTTTTTAGGAGTCCATGGGATAGCCAGTATTCTTCTGCAACACCACAACTCAAGAGCATTTATTCTTCAGTCATCCTTAGTCACTGTCCAGCTCTGAGATGCATAGCAAGTAACTAAAAAGACCATGGCCTGAACCAAGCATGCCTTAGTCTTCAGAATGACATCACCACTCCTCAGTAATTTGGAGAGGTGCATGACAGAGGACTTGTCCAATGCAATATGGCTCCTGATCTATCAGCTGGCTGTGTTGATTGTGAATACAAGTCAAGATGAAATGTAGTTGACAATGTCCATCTTTTCTCCATCTGTCATAATGTTGCTTATCGATCTACTAGTGAGGATTTTTTTCCTCTTGATGTTGAGTGTAGATGATAATGATGAGATCATAAACAAAAAGGCAACAGTACAAGAATTCACCAGAACCATGTTCAGAAAAGTAAAGCTGACTGAAAATGTTCCCACTGTAGTCACAAAGCTATTTGGGAAATACAGCATTTTTACATAGAAGTCACATGCGTATATTATAAATTTAAAGCAATACAAAACAAACTTCAAACTCGGTGTCATGAAGTTAGTTCCAATTCACTTGGTTTCTGAGGGGAGACTGCTCATTGAGAGGCTGGTGGATTCAAATCACTGGTAACTTGTTCTGGTGTCCCAGGACAATTTGCGACAGAATATGCCATCAGAGCCCCCTCGGTGTATCAGATTTGCCATATTGTTGTTGTGTGCTGTTGCGTCAAAACCAACTCCTAACTGACCCTCCAGTGGATTTGCAGAAGCAGTAAATTCCATGGGAGGAGACTGCCCCTCCTAATCATGCGTCTTGCAGACTCAAACAGTGCACCGCTGCGCTGGCAGTCCAACTGCTTACTCACTAGGCCACCAGACTTCCTTAAGATTTGCCTCACAATGACAGAACTTGTGGCACTGTGAACTCCAGAAGCAGCTGCTTCCAGAATGCTACTGCTGGAAAACAGGCCCTCCATTTATAATCTAATCGTGTCCTCACTGGCCTGTGTGGAAAGAGGTTATTTTTATCAGAGAGCCGTAACTTAGCTTCTGGAACATCCGACTTCTGTACTCAACATGACTGCTGGTAGTTCACATGTACAAACGTGACCCTTGAGAAAACACACTTTTACCTAAATTACAATCAGATGATAGTCTTCTCGTAAATACTATTCTGTATATTACATTCAAATACATTAATTGTTTGGTCTTCCTTGCCTGTTGTCCAGCTGTCATCTGCACATCAGACGACCAAGAATGTCCTCATGGCCTCAGTTGGGCTTACTGTAGTCCTCAAAGTGAAACCTGCTTTTTGACAAGTGAAAGCAATCTTTTACAGCAGATTTCTCAGCACAATCTCTCAAGTAATTTCTTATTTTATTTTATTATTTTGTGTGTGTGTACCGTCAAATCAGATCTGAGTGGTACAGGAAGAGATTGCCCCTCCTTCTCCAGCAAAGCATCTGGTGGATTCGAACCACGTACCTCTGGGATTGCAGTGCGGCTTCTTGCCACTAGAGCTCCCACAAGTCATTTCTTGACTGCTGCTTCTATGGGTGCAGAGTGGATCCAAATAAAATTAAATTCTTGACAACTTTAATCTTTCTCTTTATCATGATGCTGCTTATTTAGCCAGCTGAGGGCATTTTATGTTAAGATATACACCATAACCTTTGATATTCATTCATCAGCTAGGGCTTTGAGTCCTCTGCTGTCGGTAGACAAGAGTCTATCTATCACTTGGACAATGCAGGCAGGGTGTTCGTGAGGCTTCCTCCAATTCTAATGCCATACTCTTTGCAGAGTCCAGCTTCTCAGATAACCTGCTCAGAACAGACTAAGTATCGTAAAAGGATGTTGTTGCTGTTGTTAGGTGTTATCAAGTCTAGGATCAATCACAGAGACCCTGCCAGCCTCATCATCTCTGACATGTCAATTCGTCTAAGGGTTCTGCTCTCGTGGGCTGATCATCATCCTCCACTCTTCCAAGCATGATGTCTCTTACCAAGGAAAAGCCTCTTCTATCAACCTGTCCAAAGTATATGAGATGAAGCTTCACCATCCGTGTCTCCCAGGAACATTCTGGCTGCACATTCCCAAGACATATCTGCTCGTTCTTCTGGCAGTCCATGAGATATTCAATACCCTTCTCCAACACCACAACTCAAAAGGCACTGACTCTTCTGTCATCCTAATTCATTGTCCGCTCTCAAATTCACAGCAAGTGATTGAAATGACCATGGTCTGAATCAAGTGCACCTTATTCTTTAAACAGACATTGTTGCTTCTCAGTAATTTGGAGAGATCCATGTATGACAGAGAACTTGCCCAATGCAATACAGCTCTTGAGCTCATGCCTGTAAGTTATATAGGCTGTGGATCCAACTAAGATGGAATAATTGACAATTTCAATCTTTTCTCCATCTATCATGATGCTGCTTATTGGTTGAGTTGGTGAATGTTTTCTGGATCTTGAGATGCAACCCATAATGAAGGCTGTAGTCTTTGATCTTCTGGAGCACGCATTCCAAGTCCTCTTCAGAGCAGGCAGCGTTGTGTCATGTACATAACCCAGACTGTTGAAGATTCTTCCTCTCATCCTGATGCCACATACAACCCTGATATGTACCTTTGTTCACTGAAAGCCATGCCGTATCTCTCTGTTCTATTTCACTGTCTTTTGGTCTATGTACAGGTTTTGCATGAGCACAATTAATGTCTTGGGATTTCCATTCTTTGTAATGTTTGTAACATTCTGTTAGGGTTCACATAGTAAAATGCAAACAAACACCTTTGCAGGATTCTCTGCTTTCAGTAAAGCTTCATTTGGGAGCAGCCCAGGAAACCTTGTGGGGCAGTTCCTTCTGCCCTACATACAGCTGCTATGAACTGAAACGGACTTCACAGCAATGGGTGATCTCTCCACCTCCAATCCTACCTACAGCTATACCAATACCTGTTTATATCTATACAAAATACTTAACCAAATCTATACCTATTGCTATCAAACTCTATATATTACTTGATAGAAGTTCTTCTCCCCACTTGGCAAAACTTGGAAAACATTTTTCACAGTCTGTACATAGCAGAGATAACAATAATCATTCTCTATTATTTCATGTTTTAAGTTGCATTATTTTTTTCCTTTCTAACAGAAATGCTGTGATAAAGCCCTGGGCCTACCTTGTTTGATTTATTCCTAGAAGTGGAGTCACCAGAGCAGAGGGGAAATAAACTGTTAAGATTTTCAAATACACTTTGTTCTCCAGAAAGAAGATTCCAATTTTGTTCTCCTGCCAGCACTGTGCCAGGTGGCTTTTATATAGGAAACGGAAATTCTAGTGCACACCCAGTCTCTGGCCTGCTTTGCTGTCTCCCTTTTCCTTAAGCTGTCATACTAAAGGAATTTAAAGCAATTTTTAAAATATGCTTAAGCAAAAAGTAATTAGGCAGGAAAACCTTACACAAGTACTAGCTTAAAGCCAAAATAAATGACTTTGGGATTAACATTTTTTGGGGAGAGTAGTGAAGTTATTAATTTTCATTTCCACAGGCCCAGGGGTAGACAGTGCTTGGTGGAGCTCCCAGATTAAAACAGGCTTGGAAGCAAGAGTGGCATCCACTTACAAAATGGCTTGCCTCCGGCAACTCTAGGAATTTAGAGAAACAATGAAAGTCATACAAGTGTTCAGGTTTTCTGGTTCACAGGGTCATTATGAGTCGTCAACAACGCGACAGCACTTAACAACTTAACAACAACAAAATATCCATAACTCCTACCCAAGTTGTTTTTATTGTTTTGGTGCGTTTTTTAAAAAAATGTTTCCCTTGCTCTCCCTTCTACCATTTCCCTCAAACACACACAAAAAAACACACAAAACACCAAACCCAACAACAACAACAAAATCAACAAAAATCCAACCGAACAAAACCTCTGTAGCCCGAGTCCAGTATTCCACCAGATGATAACCACAGCAGTGGTAAGATTCCTAATGGTATAGCAGTTAAGCTGCCAAACGAAAGGTCAATGTTTTGAACCCAATACAGCTCCATGGGAGAAAGAGAAGTTTTTGTTTCAAAAAGACTTATAGGTCCAGAAACCCTTTGCAGCAGTTTTGCACCATCCTATCAGGTAACAATTAATTAGAATCAGGTCC